GTATGATTACCTATACGAATTGACTCTACTTGGTCTAATCACTATTACTTGGCAATCAGATTATGTGCTTGAGATTTCTATCACATGCTTGTTGACCAGGATGCAGCCTGAGTCAATCAACATCTGAAGGAACCAAAAACAAGAAGCCTAAAGTAATTGTTTAGCTATAAATCTAAGAGCTGTTCAAAACTTTATCTTAATATTCTTCACAGACGTTTCGAAAATGCAAAGTGGCTGACATGAATTTTTGTTAACAACCACATACTGTTAGGCTACTCGCTATTTACAATAGAATAAAAAATAGGAGAGCAGCATTTGTAATGGAACGTTAGTAGATTTAAACAGTAAAACGTTTTTTTGGTGTATATCTTATTTAAGTAGTAATCTATTTTAAAGGTTGTTAACAGCAGTGCTACACATTGCCTGCAGTCAGTGTTTCAGACTACGCAGTATATCATTTTGATTTCAATGATATATGATCAGATAATCAGAAAATGACAGCTGCATTGTTTTTCAATGAGCCAACAGAACTAATAATTTGTTCTGTTATACAGCAACGTAAATTATTTATGTCATGGAAAGTTTTAGTTAAAAAAACTGAGTTTAGGTAACTGAAGTGAGAATTTCATGAAAGTTTCTGATAGTCTGATTGAATTCTCTCCACAGCACTTTTTTTGCAAAAAGGACAATGCTATGAATTGTGACTGGTATCAACTCTTGAGATAACATTAATGAGATTTTGTTTTTTTTGCTGTTGTCGTTTATATCAGAGTCAAGAGAAGAGGAGGGCTTAGCAGTGTTCTTGGTCAAATCGGGAAAAAAGCAAAGTTGAGCACACTAGTAAGTCTTTAATACATTGGTTCTCATAATGTGATTACAATGTTATGGCAGTGTTGAATTGCTGATGCAAAGGAAGTAGTGCAGCAGGAATTAACTTACGACCTTGTCTAAAACATGTTCATTAACATTCTACACACTTATTCTAAATATATGAGATACCAAATGGTGGACATCTCCCTTTCATTGCTTCAGATGTTTAAACAACAAGATTAAATCCTAAATAAAAATCAAAGGGAGCCTAGAGCCATGATTACTCCATGGCTTCTTTTGTTCTGCTAAAAGCCACTTGAATGGAACTTTTTTTACCTCCATCACAGTAGTTTGAAAGCATTCTTGTTTACCAGAGAAGTCTCTCCACAACATCAATTATCTTTTGTCAATGGTTGCGTTTTTGACCCTATATTTGGCTGGGACGAAAACAACCTGCGTAAGACTAGCCATGAACAATGTATTATCACAAGTAACTGTCAACTTTATTGTCAATTTTCACTCGTGAATTTGTGCGTTCGGGAATCCTTATGCGATATAAGGCGAGATTCCTGTCATCATTTTGTTAGCGAACAGGACTTTGGGCACGATGCCCAACGAGTTTGCCAAGCAGAAAGGTCTCTGATGAGTCCCTTGGCTGGGATGAAACGAGCTGCATAAGACTAGCCACGAACAATGTATTATCACAAGTAACTGTCAACTTTAAAGTATATTTTGAAAGAAAAATCTCATTTGACCATATCCCTGCAGCTAGTCAACAAGATAGCTAACTCCAGGGTTCGTACGGGTCCTGGAAGACCTGGAAAGTCCTGGAATTTTGTTGTGGCATTTTCCAGGACTGGAAAGTCCTGGAAAAAGGCTACTGGTCCTGGAAAGTTCTGGAAATCTGTTAAACTCAAGTAAAAAAACATGAAATGTATCACAGACAGTAAGGAGAATTAGCATTGAGATCTTGGGAGTGAAAGGGTTAATGTGAATTTTATAGTCCTGGAAAAATCAATCTGAGTCCTGGAAAAGTCCTGGAAAAGTCCTGGAAATTTGTTTCTGAAAATGGGTACGAACCCTGTAACTCTCTTTGGGCCCACCTGAGGGGATATACATTCAATTTCACCAGCACCCACACCTCTGAAGCCCAGAGCCCAGTCCTGGCGGTGTTCTGTTGGAGTTTCTGATGTGTTAGCCAGTTCAAACCAACTTAATGGATCCATGGGACCTAAAGTGATCTCCCTCTAGCTTAGCCATGTATCAAATCCCTTCTAGTGCTTCCAAGGTGAAGGCATCCCACAAATTTTGCTTATCTACTCGTCATAGGGATTTGACCATGCACACACAAAACCTGCTATTTATGTTGGAACCAGTGGCACTGTTATTTTTCTAGACACATATTTGAATTGTTGATGTTATAGTTACAAAAATGATTTGAGAGCCTCAGTATTACCACTTGACATCAGACAAACTGAATTTTTGAAACTCAAAAGACTTAAAAACTCATAGGGGTTTTGGATTTTAGATTTCTTAAGTCCTCCATTTCTCTCAGTTGTTTAAATTAGTGTCCATAATTTTGTCAAGAGTGTAAATAATGTCAATATTGCTTACAATAACACCGTGATATAAAAAATGTCGTTTTTGAGGGTCAGTTTTAATAAGCTGCAAAGCGAGAGTTCCTATAATTGTAATTAAAACTTCAAAAGCTAATGAAAATGTGGTTGTTTTAAGGAAAAGTCAAAGCTGGACTGGAACGTGTTTAAAGAACAAGAAGGAATTCAGGAGGAACTTCAAAACTTTAACAAAGATGGGTTTGTAGGCCTTTCTTGTTGTTAAGAGCAACCACGAGACAGTGTGCATTGAAAGAAGTAAAACCCCAAAGTAGTCAATTGAATTAGAAACAGCACTGCTCTGCTCTGTTACAAAAGATATCTTGAAAAAATCAGGGCTTAAATTGGAAAATTTACTGCGATGATCACTCTTCACTTTCATCTACAACCGCAGTTCATATATGGATTATTCCATATAAACTTCACATCAAAGATATCTTGTAACTCTCTACACCAACAAACCTTAAGCACTTGTTGTTCATGCAATAGATTTTATTGAAACCAAAGCAACTATGTTAGAGGTCTCCAGTCACCCACGTTTTTAAAATTTGTGGAATGTTACTTTCTCTGTCAGCGAAGTTTACTATCTAACAGCAAGAAAAAAAATGATTGAATTGTTCATTTTTAACCTGAAAAATCCAACTTATAGGTATGGATACGAGTTTCACTCTATCCACCCATCCACCCATCCACCCATCCACCCATCCACCCATCCACCCATCCATCCATCCATCCATCCA